AGTGCCGGCCGGCTTCTGTGCGAGAGCCATTTCGCGTTTCTAGATCTTTGCTGCCTTGTGTCGATTGTTTTCGAACAATATATCGCTCGAAAGGTTGTTTCGTCTCTTGACGGATCGAGCTCCACAGCCAATCAACAGTCACCGCTGGGACTCCCCATTCATGAGTATGGCGTAGTTTCTCGAGGTTCGAGGATGCTGGCCCGTTGCATATGAGCACAGATGCTGTGGGCTTTAGATACTCATTATATGTGGCGCCAACTAAAGTGACAAGCTTCGATAAATGTAGAAGGTCGATGCGTGAGAATCCAGTGGAGCATATGTTCATGCCCGCTAGCCCTTTGACAGGGAATGAAGGTATTGGTGTGTTTGCAATATGGGATTCAGGAGGAACCAAGGTTTTTGAATCGAGGCACCTTTCTAGCCACATATCGGTAACAACTTCACACTCAAAGGCTAGATCATCGGTGGATGGAGCACTAGAACGTGGAGTCTTGTAAGGGACAATGATATAAAGGCCATGGCCCTTCTTTGGTATATCTGGTCGAGAGAAGTCGCCGAGGGAGCCTACCAACTGGGCACCATTGAATGACAGATGGTTCCGCAATACATTACTTTGTTTTGAGGAGAAGCCATGGATTAAGAAGAAGCACCCATCCAAGAACCCATTTCGGCGATCGATGGCTGGTTCTCCAGCTAGTTCGCGGGGCTGCGAAAGGGCACCCGTGGTTTCGCTGGCGAAGGACTTGGCTATCTGGACTGCAGAAGAATCCTTTTGTTTCCGCTCATTTGGTTCTTGCTTTTGCCTCGGTGGCTTTGGCTCTGCAGTTTCAAAGCCCATGCCAACGATATCACCCCAGATGTTTTCATTTTGATCCCCAAGTTTGGCACTTGCTATCCTGCGCAGCTTTCGTGGCCGGGGCCCTAATGAGCTTTCTGTATCTGACTCTTTCTTCTTAGGAGCGGGTAAAGAGCGATTCCAGGCTCCAGAACCCTGCTTTTCCGGTGGTAATAAAGGGTGGTATAAAGTCTCCTCAAGAATCATTCCACGCTCTATGCTGTCGGTGAACCATTTAAAGGTGACCACCTTGACATTCCATTGTGTCGCGAATTTGTACTTCTCACCTTCTGCAGTTCTCGCAATAAGGTGCGTCATTGTTTTCGTTAGGTCTCGGCTGAAGTGGCCACCATGGAATTGGACCTGTGTACGAATGTGATTTCGCATTTCCACTATTAAAGAAACTGTGTCAGTATTGTCCCAGCCTAATAACCACGTCGCCTACTTACTGTCGCCAAAGCCCGTTGTGCAGATCGCGGTACCGGCGAAAGTTGGCAGCTTATATTTCTCTTGGAGATCACGTATGTTGGTATCCCCACCCTTCATCCACGACTGACGCACTGCCTCTACCCATTCTGGTTGAAGCACAACCACGTCTGGCCGCTCGCGTGCGACGTACTTGTATTTCGGGGTGCTAGTGTCGCCGACTAGCAAATGGGTAACTTCGGATGTGAGGTCATAGTTATGGCCCGCGCCCATCTGACCTGCAATTGTGACCAACTCAGTCTAGATGCGATTCGTTCTATCAGCATCGTACTACTACCGCAGTCACCTCTTAATGGGCAAGTTAATAACTCACCCGCTGTTCCGGAAGAATGGATGTGAAACAGAGAACTACCCCTGCAAGAGGGAGCTCCTTGTCTACTAAATCAGCAAGGCTTCTGTAAAAAATGCGCAAAGTATACTGACTCGAGGCAGCTTTCCCTGCCATGCTTCATGATTGACCGTCAATCGGAGGCTTATCGAGGCCGATCCAACTCGAGAACCAGCGCAGGTTGCGCGTCCAAATAATGTATTATCGCGTTGGTCTCATGTATTCAGAAATGTCCCGGGCTGTCCTAGTCTAGAAAACAACGAGAATGCCGTATTCCTAACAATTCTTCGCAAATTGACAGAGAACCCCGTCAAGTTTTGTTGGTTTCCCCACGGAGCAGCACCGCGGAAATGAAGCCCTTATCACGGTCACGTGTAATAGCGGCGCGTATCTTGATATCCTTGTACGCGCTTTTCGGGACGCGGAGCCTTCAAATGGACCACCAGTTAATAATAAATCCTCACGCTCGTTTAAGGAGGCTACCCTTTTCTTTCCTTCACTGTTTATGTACTTTTCTAGGGCGTCACCTCGAATATCAGCTGCCGTTTGCCAATCCTTCTCCAATGGTTCAGTGTTAATTCCTCAAACTGCCTCAAGATACGCGTCATCACGGCCATTGAGTGCTGCAGAAAGGCCGGCAGTGATGTTTAAAAAGGCAGTCAAAGATCACTCGGCTACAAATGCTAGGCCGCTTCAATCAACTCTTCCAAATGCTAATGGGAATGCTGCGATCAAACCACCTACACAATCTATTGGCGTGAAACGGAAGATCGAGATAACGGGCACGAAATCCAACCTAGGGTCTCTCCACAATGCCGTGTATTTTGACGAGAACGATTTCGATGATGATGACGATTTAGACTTTGAATCACCCGATCCCTTTATACCTCCAGCGAAGATTGAAAAAAACAGCCTCGAGGAACAGGATTCATTCAGGACTGCGAAATCACATCTTACACTATCCCAGACTGAATCGCTATCGGCCATTCCGATTTCCAAGAATGACCACAGTACAGACATCAAGTACCCTGACCTTCCGCCTGTCCCACCGGATGATGACCCTGCACCGTCTAGCAGCATACAACTGCCCTGGTCATCATCACCCCCCACTCATTTTCAAAAGCCCGCTGCCCCTCGAACCGTCCCGTGGCGGAAACAGCAAGAGAGCAATGTTATTGTAATAGACGATGATCCGAAACCAAAGACGCCCGCGCGTCCATCCTCGGCGGCTCCATGGAATAAAACTGCGAGTGCAATTAAAGAGGAGCAGAAGGAACTTCGCAAACAAAACAAGAAAGCGCAAGCTGAGAAAATACACACCAGCGCCAAGCAACATACGCCTCGTACACAAGTTGCCCCTATATTTCTAAGCGATGAGCAGCGCCATGTCTTGAAGGCTGTTGTTGAAAAAGGAAAGAGTATCTTTTTTACGGGTTCGGCAGGAACTGGTAAATCAGTCCTCATGAGAGAGATCATCAAGAAGCTGCGGGATAAGTACAGAAAGGAACCGGACCGCATTGCAGTCACTGCTTCCACTGGACTTGCTGCGTGTAATATTGAGGGTGTTACACTGCACAGTTTCGCGGGGATTGGCTTGGGAAAAGAGCCTGTACCTGAACTGGTAAAAAAGGTAACGTTCCTTATTGTAGTTTGCTACATACATTTCTCTAACAGCCTACAGATCAAGAAAAATCAAAAAGCCCGGAATCGCTGGCTGCGCACGAAAGTTCTGGTAATTGATGAGGTGTCTATGGTCGATGGAGATCTGTTCGATAAGCTCGAGGAAATTGCCCGACAAATAAGGAACAACGGCCGGCCTTTCGGGGGCATCCAACTTGTTGTCACTGGTGACTTCTTCCAATTGCCTCCGGTTCCAGAGGGTCAAAATCGAGAGGCGAAGTTTTCATTTTCTGCAGCCAGCTGGAATACTGCAATACAACACACGATCTTGTTGACTCACGTTTTCCGTCAGCGTGACCCCGAGTTTGCCGACATGCTGAATGAGATGCGCCTGGGGAACCTGAGCTCGCGGACAGTACAGGCTTTCAGGGAACTCTCTCGGCCGCTAGATTTTCACGATTCCCTGGAAGCTACCGAGCTGTATGCATTCTATCCCCCGTTTCTATCTATGTCTAACATTGTTCTCCAGGTTTCCCACACGCTATGAAGTAGAGAATGCAAATGCCGCTAGAATGAAACGCTTGTCAGGTGAAATGATGACGTTCAATGCAGTAGATTCCGGAAGTATCACGGATGCTCAATTTCGTGAAAAACTGCTCTCCAATTGCATGGCCCCTCCTACAATTCATTTGAAGAAAGGCTCACAAGTTATGCTCATTAAAAATATGGAGGAGACCCTCGTGAACGGGTCGATTGGTCGGGTGGTCGCCTTTATGGATGAAGCTACGTTTGATTTCTATGTGGAGAATGAGAACGACTTTACGGGCGACAAATTAGACGACGGTGATGAGGAAAGGATGGCACGTTCTCGCAAGAAACTGAAAGGCATGACTCACAAGGATGGGGGTGTTGTCGTCACTAGAAAGTGGCCCCTGGTGTGTTTCATCCAACCAGACGGGACGGAAAGGCATCTTCTTTGCCAGCCGGAAACCTGGAAGATCGAGTTGCCAAATGGCGAAGTACAAGCCCAGCGGCAGCAAGTGCCCTTGATCCTTGCATGGGCCCTGTCCATTCACAAGGCCCAGGGTCAGACATTACCAAGAGTCAAGGTGGATCTTGGTAAGGTCTTTGAGAAAGGACAAGCCTACGTTGCTTTAAGTCGAGCTACATCTAAATCCGGACTTCAAGTGCTTCGGTTTGATCCGCGCAAAGTCATGGTACATCCGAAGGTCATCGACTTTTATCAAAATCTCGTCCACGTCAGTGACTTGATCAAGTCGAAACCGGTCAAAGCACCGCGGGCGATAGGAGGCGGTGCAGGTGACGACTTCGAGCAGGACTATATGGACGAGCTTATCGCCCAAGCCGAGGGACGATAGGCCCGTGCTTTTTTTATTACCATTATCAAGCCTATTTTCTTCTATTGACTGGCTCACCATTTCTCTACTTGCAAATAATGATATCCATGGCGCGGTGACTTGCGGTTTTTCTTCAAAGGATACTACACTATAGAGTGTTGTCAATATAGTGCTTTGCTCAACCCAACGCCTCTACGGCGACTGGGACCGTATACTGAGCAACATATATAAAGTCACATGAGAAGATATCCTCTTTCGTTTATGGTGGTGGTGCTTAGACCCCTCCTATAATACAGAACTAAAACAACAAATCCCATCCAGAACCACGCACCCAAACATTACGTCTTATACGGAAATATCCCAATGGCTAAACTCAATGTCTCGACTTCAACCGATTCTGCGACCCAGTCCCTCCCTTTTCCTGATTTGGGTTGGTCGGACCAGGCTTATTTGCCCTCCGCGCAGCAGCAATATTTGGCTCATCGGCCAGCATGTGGACATTCTCATTCTCGTTCTCGCACTCGTGAACGGCGTTCTCGTAGTCGTCGATGGGGGCGTCGTCGTCCACGATGCTGTGGGCTTTCTTGGGCTGCAGAGGTGGTGAGGAAATGGGACCCTTGGGCATTTTGGCTGATGTTGTGAAGATTCGCGTTTATCGAATACGGGGGTTGTTGCTATCGAGAATTGGAGGTTTCGGCCTGTGTGAAGCGGTTTTCCTCGCTCTTAGCATCGGTGCAGTGATACCACCATGACCTCCGTACGTAGGTTCGGGATGTCATGGTCAATAAATGGCTGAGGTAGTCTAGACTACATTCTATGAGCAGGGAGTGTATACAAAGTACAACAATGAGAAAGCTAACAATATCCTGTCTGGATTTTGGCTTCACGATGTCCTTTGTATAGTGGAGTTTAGTCGAGTTTATACTTTCCATATCTCACATAGCTGGCCTTTGGAATACCATCACATTCAATATTCATGGGACAGCCGCTAAAAGACCCGCCTGAACCACCACGAAATAGTCAAATAAGTTCGTGAAGATGAGTAGAACGCGTTTCGAATTTCAAGATGACTGGTATCTTCTCCCAATCCTCCTCTGTGTCAATTCACGCCCTATCGTCCTCCAAATAAGTCCAATACGGAATCCCTTCTTGACCGTTAATCCCCTTTACAGCAATAACCTTGTCCTCTCCCGGTACAACATCAAAACCATTGTCACTAAACCAAAGCCCCGGCCTCTCTTCAAACACAAGTCCCTTGGTCGGCTTTGCAGCTGTAACTCTAATCGTAGACTCGGAGGCGAGGTATTCCACCTTCACGCCTCGGTCTCTCAAATCAAGGTATTTGAGTGGTTGTGGCCAATCTATGTCTTGGCTTATGATTTTACCTTTGGCGAGTAGCTTTGCGGATATAACAATTGGCTGGATGGTTGGGTCTTGAGTATAATCTATGGTATCGCTAAGGACGTCGGTTGACCCATTCGGACGGATTTGGATATCATCAAAGGAGGAACGAGGCTTAATATCTTCCCCAGTGGCAATTGATACATATCGTACTTCAACAGAGACGGACACGGGCTCCACTATACTACTGGAAACCCAGACATCGAAACGCGAGGAGCTAGGTGGTCGAGCGTGTCCGGAGACCCATTCGTGGTATGTACGCGAGACGCCAATTGCGAGGGACTGGGATGCCCGTGCAATGGCATAAAACGCAGGCTTCTTGATAAGGAAGTAGTCGACAACAGCCCAGGAGATGGTCGGCCAGCAATCATTTAGTTGCCATACGAGAATGCCACCGCAGCGACGGTTCTGGGCGTGGTCCCATTCACGGCGCCAGCTTTTGTACGCGAAGGCCATGGTTTCAGATTGGGTGAGTTGGGAGAGGTGGAGGTATGACTACCAGTGTTAGCTTTCTTCGTTCAATAACAGCTGGTTCAGAATAGTGGGCTCGTTGTACCTTGAAGTCTTCTTTGACCTTGAAGTTTTGCAGGATATAAGACCCCAGTCGGCGTTCGTGGTCCCGAGCTTTATTACGGAAGTCCATTGTCAGTGACTGATGGTATTTCTCCGCAGGTTTATCGATGAAGGCATCGATTGTGTGCATATGGGGGTATGCTTCCATGCCGAATTCGCTGATGAATCGACCACCCATCGAGGGGAGGTTCTGGTATGGCTGCATAGTTCCGTGCCAGACTGTAATAGTCAGTAAATTTGCAGGAAACATGTAACGAATGCAGGAACGGCGTACCATCCCACTGGTGGATATCCCCAATTGTCGGGTCAGTCGTATGCTTTCCACCTCCCCATGGACTGCTTGGATGGTAGGGAAGCCCCGGGCATTCTTCTTCTACTACCTTTGGCAGGAGGTATTCATAGATATATCGGGCAGGGAAAGAAGATTTCAGCCATGACTCAGGGTTCTTGTCATTATCGTAGTCGTACGTTAAATTGTATGTTTGCTGGATCTGGTAGTCTTCGTTGTTCCCAGCGTATATGATGATGGAGGGATGGTGACGGAGGAGTCTCATGTTGGCTCGAGCTTCATCCTCGACTGATGCAAGATACTCGGGGTATGTAGGGTATGAGGCGCAGGCAAAAAGGAAGTCCTGCCATACCATGATCCCGAGCTCGTCGCATGTTTCGTAGAATATCTCTGGCTCAAAGATGCCTCCTCCCCAGATGCTACCAGCTCATCAGAGACCAATTTACTTAGATAGAGCGTGAATAACATACCGGACCATGTTCTGGTTCCCCTCGACCATCAGTTTCAACCAGTCCTGATATTTTACCTCTGTCAATCGAGGCAAGAAGCTCTCTCCAGGAATCCAGCACGATCCACTCGCGAAGATATCAATGTTGTTCACGCGGAAGTAAAACGACTGGCCATGGTCATCTTTATCCTGCACCAGCTCAACACGACGGAATCCGACCTTCTTCGATACTTCATGCACTATGGTATCTCCCTTGGACAGCTCCGCGTGCAGCTCATATCTCTTTTGTTGCCCATACCCATGGGGATGCCACAAAGCAGGCTTGTCAAGCTTGAATTTCACCTCCCCCATTCCACTCTCCCCAACTGTAGTCTCAGAGCTGAAGACAATCTCCTCGTGCGCTCTCAATTGGAACTGAATCCGTTCCGCGCTCCTCCCTGCAGTCCGGACATGGAGCGTCCCAGAACAGGATCCCAGATCCTCAGAAACAACGCTCTGCATCCACAAGTCTTCAATCTTATCAGCATAAGTCTCCAGCCGGATAGGTCGCCATGGCCCAGAAGTAATCAGAATTGGACCCCAGTCCCATCCCCAGTGATATGCAGCCTTCCGGGCCCCAAGACGCCCTACCTCGGTCTGATGCGCGATATACCTATGCTCGGGGTGGCTGTTCACCACTTCACGGCCTCTTCGAATGGGAGATTCAAACAGGATCTCTAGTATGTTCTGGTTCGATTCAGTCTCTGACCAGATTACAACGTCCGTCACGTCAACCTGATACGGGATGAACATATTATCAGATTCAAGGATCACAGTGTCGTTCAGTCTAACTGTCGCAAACGTGTCCAGGCCCTCAAAGAGAAGACTGCATCTCTTTCCTTGAGAGTGCTTCTCCGGAGTTGAAAAGGTAGTCCGGTAGATCCAGTCCCGATGACCGACCCATTCGAACTCCTGCTCATTGAGGCCCACGAAGGGATCTGGTATGATCTCGTTGTCGAGGAGGTCTTGGTGGACAACTGTGGGGACTTTGGATACCGGGAGCACTGGTCCATCTTCTGCGTCCCTGAATGTCCAGCCTCGCTCTAGGGCTATGGATTGGAATGATTCTGACATGTTTGAGGCGCGTACTGTATTGCAAGAGCCCGCCAGGCATGGGCAATGGTCTTTTTTAAGCACCCTGCATCATGCATTGTGCCAGATGCTCACCACGTCATTTTATTGAGGGGGTACTCGGACTATGAGCCCAGCCTACTCCAATCTGCAGTCGACGGGGAGACTCCCCGGTCATGGAGAATAGAGTCGACCGTGAAACGCCGTAATAATTAAGCTTGTCGGGAAATGAAAACGCTTTATAATCTACTTGGATATTTATACTTGGGGGCAAATGCTCCGTTGAATTGTAGCCACTGTGTTATTAACCCCTGTAACTCAAATTTCTTCCCTAGATCGACACTCCCATACTATTCGTATCAGTTTGGCTCTTCCCCGCATGATATTCTTTTTATCATCGTCTTGTTTGGTTCACTAATATCCAGTCTCTGACGGCACAGTGTACTGCTAGAAGTAGCCTCCTAGAAATCATGGATCTTTGATCTTGTAGTGGTAAAGTCAAGGAACCATTATGCTTCGATAGCAACGCATTCAGTCGAGGATCTGTGAGAGCATTCATGCCTCCAATAGACCCAGCGGCTTTAACAACCATTTCTCCTAGTTGTTTGACGGACTCGGTGCATATACGGCGGAAGGGCTGAAAATGCTGGTCCATCGAACTAGACGCCTTCAGACTGGCATTGGGCCACAATATTGATGACCTCCGTGAACGCCAACCTCAGTCCCATTTTGACGACCAGCAAGCCAGATTGAAATGAAAGTCGTGTAGCATTTCTAATCCCAAGAACTGAAATCACCAAATCCGCCTCCCTTGAACTTCTTCCGCGCCGGCTCTGGCGCTGGCTCGTCGTCCACAAATTCCACAATCTCGTCCTCATCCTGGCCGGCCCTCTCAGTCAAGGCTGCTTTGAGATACTTCCCGACCCCAGCGGAACCCTCGTCCTTAGCCGCTCCAGGCCCGCGCACTCGCTTTCCAGTCCAAGTGACCTGGTCGTCTTCCGCGCGACGGCTATTTTGTTCTTCGTCTTCGGCGGTCTTGCCTTCACCCTTTTCTGCAGATTGTTCTATCTGCTTCTGCTTCAAAAATTCTTCAAATGGATCCACGAAAATTGTAACGTCGATGATACGGACGTCAGGTGTTGGCTTGTTAGTTGTCGCATTGACGGGGTGAGCCTCGAGTTTGTTGAGTGTCGGTGATGAAGGCGTTGGGTCGTCAATCACATGGCCGAAAATTGTGTGCTTGAGGTTCAAATGAGGCAGAGCACGATAGGCGATGAAGCTGGGAATGTTAGTAAATATCTTCAGTCTACTGATAGTAGCCGAACTTACAATTGACTGCTGTTCGTGTTCTTCCCCTTGTTTGCCATACTGAGTGTGCCCCTGGAATCATGTTTAAGAGGGCCCTCAAACTCGTCGTTGAAGTATTTTCCCCAGACACTCTCGCCGCCCCGTCCAGTACCCGTGGGGTCACCTCCCTGGATCATGAATCCCTTGATATTGCGGTGGAAAGTCACATCCTTGTAGTAACCTTTCTTCGCCAATTTGATAAAGTTCCAGACTGCCTTAGGTGCATATTCCGTGTGTAATTCCAGATTGACGTCGCCAGACGTAGTTGATATCCGAGCGTATCCCTTCTGCTTCACCCGACCTCTCTTCAACATGTAATCTTCATCCGACAACAGTGCTAACTCGGCCGACGTGTGAGGCGTCATTCCTGTGCTAGTAAACGACGCAGCCGCCAGTCCAGTCGTGTATTTTGCGGCATTGTAGGGTACAGGCTTCCCACTTTGGTTGGACGCGGTTTTCTGTAAGGACTTTGCCGGAGCACCGGTTTTCGCCAGCGCCGCACTCGCGGCTGTAGTCCCAGAGCGCTGGGCTCTTTCTTCCCGAGCCTTAGCCACTGCCTCCCTTGCCTTTAAGATCTTCGCAGAACTTCCCAGCGCATTCGCATTCACATTCCGAGCCGGATCTTCCCTCTCTCGCAATTGCTCATCAGATAGCCCAGTCTCCCCTTCCTTGATATAATTGAAGGAGCTCAAGTTCCTAGACTCAATATTCTGCGGATCCTGCAATGTAATTATATCCTTCCGGCTAAATTCCTCATCTGTCATAAGATCCCGCCACATCTTCCCCTTAATATTCAACCGCTCAACCGTATCCCACGCATACACATTCCCGGTATTCCGCAATGCGACAACATGAGTGTTATCCGTAAGAACCTTGTACGTGACGGGATCAATATATTCATCGGCATCGTTCTTCGCGATCGTCAACTTAATCAGATCCGAGCCCTTGAGCGGCGTTCCGTCGACGGGGTTCGTTCCGTGCTTTTTAATCCAGGGTAGGATGTTTGTGAGGTCGAAAATCGTGCCGGACTGCGTACAGACGGGGTGCTCAAAGGGTTGCAGCGACAGCGAGCAGAATTTGAATGGTAGGCGCCTGAAAGACGCTCCGTCAGCTCCAAGTCTAGCCCTGCCAACGCCAGCGCCAGCGCTGGCTGAATATGCTTCGTCCGAGGCCCATTCCGAATGTGTGATCTATGAATATCATCGCGATCAGTGGAAATCTTCTTCAACGATAAGGGACGAAAACCGGGGAATTCATCGTACGTAGAGCTTATCAGTGCCTGGAGGAGAGTCGCGTTAGATTCTGGATCATAAACAGGGTGTGATTATACTGACCTTTGCCCATTTTGACGACAATTATACTGTGAGCCGGACAGGGTCTTTCTTTGTCGGGGTCGCGAACCTTGAAATGATGTAGTTTTCGAAGACAGAAGCTAACCTTTTTTAAGTTAGATTGTACCTACGGGATGTAATGTCTGCCTTAGGCACGCATGAGCTGCAATATGAGATCCGACAACCTTATGAAATTAAATAAACTGTGTAGTGGACAGGAAGTTGATATTGGTACCTATTTATGTGTGAGTGAGGTATGGTATACCTAAGATAAAGCTATACAGTTCCTGATCAAGAGATAGACTATTTGCAACGCTAAAGATAAAATCACGGTTGTGTTCCAGTTTTCTCTACCAGAACGCCTCAATGCCTTATTCGTTCTACTTATAATCGTTATATTGTTGTTCAAAGCCAATCGCCTTTCAAACAACGGAGGGTTGGAATCGTAGAGATACAATCCATCGGTTTCCGAAATCAATACCATGTCGTCGACGAGTGCCAAACTTTCGCCAGGCTATCTGAGGAATTCCAATGTCCGCAACAGAGAGGTTCCAAGAAGATCCTTCTCCAGCTAGCAGAGCATTGACTAGCCCAGTCTTCGGCGCTCCAAGACAGACAATCGATTTCGAATCGACACGCAGTTGCCCACTCTCGACAAACGTCACTTCTCCTGTAGATTCCGAAAGTTAGATAAATTGTTCACAATTGATAGATAACGAGATGCTTACCAGTAGTAGCGGATATGCCGGAAGGGACATCAACAGATAACGTATCAAGTTCGCTGCGATTAACCCAAGAAATCATCTGGAACGCAGTCGCTTGGTCATCCGTTCGCAAGTCGTTGAAGGTGAGATGAATACCAAATAGTGCGTCCAAAATCAAATCAGGTTCGAATTCAGAAGTTGAGAGTCTTGGAGAGAGTTCTTCCCATTTCAGGAAGCGGCCGCCCATCTTCTTGAAGATCTCAACCTGCTTACGGCAGCTCTCAAGCAATTCGACTTCTTGCTCGATTCCTAGCATACACACCGTTACACGGTGACCACGATTCCGCAGATGGCGAGCAGAAGAAATGGCCCTTGCTCCAGTCCTATGGTTTCCAACGAGAGCCAAGATGGTAGGTGCAGCTGCATCGCTATTTAGAAGGCCGACAGCGGCCTCCGCAATACTCCTTCCAGCATTTTCAGTGATCATATCCTCGGTCAGGCCCACTTCGCCAATCGCTAGCTGCTCAACTTCGAGAATTTGTAGAGGGCTGACAGTCGGACAGCTTCGGTTCGTAGTCGCAAGTCGTAATGTGGCGTTCGACACGCTAGGCCCGGTAATTGGCGACGCTGAAACGTGTGATTTTGTAGGAAGCGGGCTATTTGTTCGAGAGCCGCTCAACTGATGGCGCCCGACGGTATTGATCTGTGCTGGAATCAGCGGTTGTCCAAGGATTCCGCTTCCTTTCCGTGACGCTCGGCCACGCACCGACAGCCTTGATACGTCGCGTCCAGAAAAGGTCCCGCTGCTGAGTTTCGCATCGCTCGGTTCATGGTCGGTGGCTCCATTATCACTCTCCTCCTCCGGACTATCGTCGAGAACATTTTCCGTCCAGTGTAAGTTACGGCCTCCGTTGGTTCCGGGCTTTGGAACCCTTTTGTTGAAGCTAACAAGTCGTGCTTCATCGGCAGTTGTGTCATCGTTCCTGATCTCCTCAAACACCCGTCTCTTGTCGAATTTGGAAAGATTACTTGCGAAATCAAATTCGCCCAGTTCCTGGATATCTGTTGCCTCCTCAGTTGCCCATCCATTTGTTTCTTCCGTATAGCCTTTGGTTTTCTTCTTCCGCCGTTTATTATTGAGTGCCCCTCTCTCCTTATACGGCTGCGGGGAGTTCATCATGCTTGGGCTAGAAGGTTCGACAAAAGCTGTCTGGCGCCACCCCTTGGTCTTTGGGTTCGTATTAAGGGCCCCATTGTGCTCATTATAGACATTCTGCGCCTTCTGTTTTCCTCCGCGACGACCACGAACCGTACCATGACGACTAGCGGCATGAATCGGGGGCTCTTCAGCCGCGTGGAGAGAGGGGCCCTGTAGCTCCTTCTCCGGCTCCACTTGCGGAGTTGGAATACTGCTCACATTCAGCTCTAGGTTACTGAACGGCTCGTTGAGGGTAGCTGGTGTTGCGTGGGATATGTGGTGAGATGCGCTCTGCGGCGCAGGATATTGTCGGGCGGCAGGGCCATCTATCAAGTTCGATTGAAGTTGCGCGCTCGAATGAACCTCATTCGAAGGTTTTGAGAAACTTAGAATCGCCGGGTCCACAAACTGTTGCTGTGTTTGGTTTCTCGATATCGGGGGCGCCACATTCCTGGTTACTTGCGGTGTAGTCGCGGCTTGCGCTCCAGGTCTATCGGATGGTTTCAAGGACAGATCTGCAATATCTGGGGCTTCGATGGAATACGCCGGGACTGGGTAACCGATCCATGACAAAGAAACTAAATGGTCACCTCGTTAGAATTGTACAGAATGCAATACGCCAAAAAAAAAAAAAAAATAGCAACAGACATACCATTTTGAAGCATCAAGCGTTGACCGATGACATCCGCAACCACCCCCTGGACAGTAGCGCCTGGGGGTGCGCGAAGGGTCACCAGCACATTGTAGCCGATGAATTCAGAGGCCATGGTTGCGAGCTCTTCTAGACTGAGATATCAAGCCGGCGGCCGGGAAGAGCCCATAATAAGGAGTCAGAGAAATTTTATTCAGAAGGAACGTAAAAAAAAGCTGATAATAACGCTGCGCTCGGGATAGTGATGCCAACGGAAGTTGTCAACCCTTCCGTGGGCTCCTCCTCAAAGCTCTGGCTACAACGTCACGTGGGGTGGTATTTATCCTTATCGATAAACGCTGCATGGTTGTTGCTCGAGAGGTTCTCCTCTGACGTTGGTTGTAATTCAAACTTTGCGAGTATAAAACGTTCAACTGGACCATTTTGTCTCGCCTGTTTACGAGTAGTGGCCGTATGATTCCTAATATCCGACTTGGTCATTTGGCCAAAAAAAAAAAGGAAATGAAAAATGAACACTAATGAATATGTGTTGGACACCCGCAAAGTATATATTTTTGCGCTGAACAATAGTTTAAGCCACCATCGAACAGCCTCAATTGACGAAAATAAATGATGTCGTGAATATAAACCCGATTATAACTTCCAGGAACGGTACTACGCACTCAATTATTCGGTAGTTCACCGACATATTAATTCAAGGATGGAGTCCGATACTCGCCAGCAGTTGATCGCTCTTGCCATGCTGGGCAGAGGCTTCCTTCTGTTCTAGGAAGCTAGATAATGTTAGTCATCCCGTACGTCATCAGTCACGTGTGAGAATGGTCCTTGCTTTGCCTGATTAGGCATCGGCTTGCATACCCCAGTCCAGGCCTCGAATATGTGGGAGCATGCCCCTGGTGGAAGACTGTAGCCTCCCATCATGTAGGTCTAGGCACCGACAGAGGGTCGTATTTACAAGGTAGTTAGGTTGGGCTATGCAGATATCTGGCCGGGAAGAGACCCATCATTACCCACGCTATGCCTAATGCAACTGATGCCCCCATTGCTCTGACGCCATCCCCCATGCCACGTTGGGGCGAATTCCTAACCGAGTTGTATGAGGGGATGGATCGGGCAAGACGTTAGGTAGCTGTCATCGAAATCTGGCAGAAACCCCATAGTTCGATCGTGTATCAAAAGTCCTCCCTAAACCCTGGCCTTCAACGACCAGCGACAAGAAATTCGACAGTTGGGGTGCTCCACCCGTTCATGGTCACGTTTATCCTTAAGTCCGACTCTGCCGGTGATGATTGGAAGTCCGCTGGCATCCATTTCATTCTGGGCAAATTCACCTTTCGCTGCATTGACCTATGCGTGTGAGACTACTATTAATAAATATCCATCGATCCCTCCTCCACCTTCATCAGTCCTCCTCCCTTCCGACAATTCGGGCCGCTATAGCTTTCCTCGGTCCAGAGAGTAAACTCTCTCGTATCTAGTGCCTCCGTGAGTGCCTTTAATCCTTCCAGCTCCGCCAGTTTGGTTTGTGAATCTCGATGGACGGCGCGCAGCGGGGTGGGCTCAGCTCTCCGCGCCCGGGACAAACAAACCCGCTTGTCTAGGCCAGGTTGGATAGAGAAACATGCGGCGACCCATTTGAAACTCGTGCTTGATGTTTATTAGTTATTGTTGTCGGGCTTCTCTGAGATGAAGCCTGAATTCGTGCTGTTCTGGCAGCAAGTATTGCCCGACGACATTGCTGATTGAGCGTCATCTGAGGCTTCAGAATGGCCGCCCACCCATTCACCCCCACGGCTTCAACAGCTGTCACTCCATAGATCTAGTTACTAACCCTCTCCCTTTCATTTCCAGCGCCACTACTCCGGCTCCGCCGCCTTTCTTCGCGCTACGTCAACCGTGCCGTTCGCATATATCTATCGCCGCCTCCGCTGCTCACCCGCCGTCCCCTAGAAACCGTACCGTACTTGCGGGGCTGAAATCAGAAGTTATTCAAGCTGGCAGGAAATAAGAGGAGAAGTTTTTCTGGTCAGGGTGGGTTGCTGAACAGGATGTTCAGTGGCTCCTCGAGCCCACCCAAAGATAAATCAGACACTGTTGCCCGCTCCGGTGCCATCAATACCCCTTCATTAAGTATCCAGACCGAGGATCCCAACGAATCTCAGAAAAAATCCTCCCCTCCAAGTGGATTTTTTGCACGCAGAGCAAGTGAGGAACAAAGCCCTGGTGGCGACAAGAAGCGCCGAAGCAGCACCGTCTCAAAGGCGGCGACATTCTTCGCCAACGCAAAGAACTCCCTGAGCCTTAATAGTCCGCGAACAGACAGTTCCTTCAACTACACTATTCAGGAGTCTTCTTCCATCCACAAATACGGAAATATGGACCCGGCGCTTAATGTTCCACAAGGTTCATTGAACAATTCTGCGGGCGAATCTTTACCAACTCCTAGGTCATCTTTCAGAGTCGGTGTTACGGAGGATCGGAATAAAAAATGTCGCCGGACTATGGAAGATACGCATGCCTATCTTTACAATTTTCTTGGGAACGCTGTACCGTCCGCGCAGATCGATGATTCTGATCCAAGTTGTAACCCCGGAGATACCTCGCCAAAGACCGGAGAGCCGGCCCCGGTCGTCGAAACGGACAATGGGTATTTTGCAATTTTTGATGGCCATGCAGGTACTTTTGCTGCGCAATGGTGTGGGAAAAAGTTGCATTTGATTTTGGAGGATGTAATGCGCAAGAATCTCAGTGCACCCGTTCCCGAGCTTCTCGATCAGACATTTACTGCTGTTGACCAGCAGCTAGAAAAACTACCCGTGAAAAACAGCGGTTGCACTGCAGTTGTTTCACTGCTCAGATGGGAGGATAGAGTTCCCACATCACATTCAGTAACCGGCTCGTCTGCTATCGGACCCGCAGCAGCGGTAGCTGCTAAGGGCGAAGCCAATTCGGAAGCCGATGATACGCCCACGCAGGAAGCAGCTGCCACCCCAGTTGCCGCCGTGCCTCCTAAGCTACGAGAAAAGGCCATTCGCCAGCGTGTGCTGTATACCGCCAATGTTGGTGATGCTCGTGTTATTTTATGTAGAAACGGCAAAGCCCTTCGTCTGTCTTATGATCACAAAGGCAGTGACGAGAACGAAGGGCGAAGAATCGCGAACGCGGGTGGCTTGATCTTGAATAACCGCGTCAACGGAGTTCTTGCGGTGACTAGAGCTCTGGGCGACGCATATATCAAAGACCTTGTTACTGGGCATCCTTACACGACGGAGACTGTCATCCAGCCAGACCTTGATGAGTTCATCATTTTGGCTTGCGATGGGGTGAGTTAACGAGACATCATTCCCAAAAATCCATAACCAGTGCTAATAAAAGCTTTGCAGCTTTGGGACGTGTGCAGTGACCAAGAAGCCGTTGATTTAGTTCGCAATATATCTGATGCCCAGGAGGCGTCCAAGATTTTGGTTGATCATGCCCTCGCGCGGTTCAGTACTGACAACCTGTCTTGTATGGTGATTCGCCTCAACGCAGACCGCCACCGCGATGTTGCCAGCCGGACAGTTGACCCTGCTTCTGTAGACGGCCAAAACGTGGCCGATCACAAGCGTGGTATAAGCGAGGCCGATAAGATCGTCGAAGGTGCCAGAAAGAGCATGGCTAGTACTGGGATAACAGACGAGTCAGAAACACTCAAGAAGGTACATGAAGAGGGGGAAGAGAAGCTAGAAAGGTTATCGGGTGATGAGCCCGAATCGCAATTGTCTGTCTCGCCAAACGCCCCGGCGAGAGCACTCAATGAGCCAAAGAAGCGCGATGCAAACGACAATCAATAAGTGACATCTGCAACTGAAGATATCGAGACCATTTAAAGAAGAAATAGAAGCAAGGTTTGAGGCTATATCTACAATTGAAATCTTATTCATTTCTGTTTCTATTCGCCCTTGTTTTTCTTCTTTCTTTTTGTTGCTTCTCGTCTTATCTCATATCCCCCTTGCCCATCTATCCTTTCCTTCTTTCTGTGGCTTAGCTATTGGCGTTGATCGCGAACTGCAATAACTCCTCAGTTGTCGTCACCAGGCCTGTACATTAGATTTTGGTCATGCAGATGCCCCATCTTGCACCATTTTCTGCCATACAGCCCCTGCCCAAGCCTTGTCTTTTCAATTTTTGTTCCGGCGCACTTTCTGGCTAGCCAAACTCTGTGATTTCCCGCTCAATGCTGGGGATGAGGGCCTGGCTGCGTCGCAAGTGCCCCTCCGTGTATTTATATTTTGATATCATGGAGCGAATTTGATTGGCAATTTGGATATACAAAGATGATGAAGACTTCTTTGCTACAATGGTTTGTAGGGAAGGTCATTTAAAATGGTTTACAATATACTATCATTTTCTGTCTTCTAAACGCCAATCACTCCCAGGCCGAACAGGGAGTCTGAGTTCTAAAAATACAAGGCGAGGCCAGCAATATCTCCGACAACAAAGTATAAAGGAAAAATAATGCACATGGAGGGCATTTAAATACAAAGGTCAGCTGAGTTAGAATGCTCAGGATGAAGCGGGTTCCTTCTCCGTGAAGGCTTTATCCGCAAGTACTTCAATACCATGGTAGAGTGGCTTTTGTCCTGGCATCACATGGCCGCGGGTGAGGTCCAATTCACCATGTAGGACTCGCGTCGGCCAATTCTCGGCGTATCGAGCGTTGTGAATATCAGTCCAGAGAATCTTCACAGGGTCCTCTGCCGACCTGCCTTCAGCGCCTTCAGCAGATTTAGACTTAGTGTCGGCGTCCTGGGTTTCCTGGATTTTGTATGTGACCTGGTCCGAACTTAAAGTGGCTTCTAGTTTGGCAATCCGTTCAGCATTTTGGTTTGCCTTCGCCTCTTCCTTCTTGCGAGCGTCCCGACGACGTCTTCTTGCACCGCGGGTCAAATAACCTCTCTTGCCATCAGCAAATCCGTCATTGATTTCCTCCTCCTGGATAGCCAAGACGGCGGAGATATCGGCGACGCTGGTAGCCTTTTGGTCCATGACAGCGCGGGCTCGGTCCTTCTTCTCCATCAACCAGCCGATTTTGTCACCATATTTCTCATCAAATTCCTTGGCCTCTTCCGGGCT